GGGCGCTAGGGTGGCGCACCCTCGTGGCGTTGCGGAGGGGCTGTGCTGCTTTAGGCGCTTCTTTTCCCCGCGCTGACTGCTTCTTGCGAGGGAAAGGGGGGTCGGGGGTGCCCGCCGCGGCCGGGTCTTCCCGTGCGGGCCCGCCCTGCCCCTTTCGGGGGTGTTGTGCGTGGCTGGGGTCCCGGGAGGTCTCTGTTGCCGGTCGCCGTGCCCTCGGGCCGGTGCCTGGGCCGGCTCCTCGGCTTTCCGGGGAAAACCGCTTCGGCCTTGGAAGAGCCGGTCCCCACTGTGCCGTTTTCATATAAATCCTTATGCTGCTATTGCATGATGATCCTTGTATGCGTGTGGTATTGGATATGACAAAGTTATTAATCGTTCCTTGTCGCAGCACCAGTTTCCTTAACGCCTTAACAGATTTTTCAGATGGCCTTTTACCTACAGGGATGAAATGAACTGCTAGGTTTCTTTCAGAGACCTTGACCGTCCTGATTACAGCATTTGGAACAAGCGTGCGCTTCCAATTCTTCAACTTACATTTTGTGGGGTTACAAAGGCAGCTTGGATTGGGTTGACTAAATTGCATAGATAGGACGATTCTAAGTGCTCCCATATAGCTCATAAAATTCTTCTGCTGTGCGTACCCATTCTGCTTATATAAAAATATCTGCAAGGGTAGTGGCTTCCTACTCTTGTTACATTGAGTTGTTTAGTTTTTCATGCTATCTAAGCTACTTCTGTTTTTTGGCCATGAATGGTACTCTTTTGTACTGGTTCTGAAATCAAACCTTACGATACTTCTGTGTGTCTTTGCTGAATTGTATGTTTGGTGACAAATGTCAGCAATTCTTATGTGAAATTCTGTTGTTGCAAAAGCAGGGTACTGAGGTTCCTCTGGAATTAGCAAGGAGCTAGGTTTTCATGCTCTTCTGTTTTTTTGTTTGTTTGTTTTTTTGTTTCCATTACTAAAGTTTCAATATACAAGAAGTTTTCCTTATTGTTATCTTTTTTCCCAGAGCCTTTATTTCCTGCCTTTTACTTTTCTAGGGGTGGTGCACCTATATGACAAACTTATTTGAAAAGCAGCGAGTTGAATAGCTAAATAGTAATTTTTAGGAAAACAGTAAAATTACATAACAAAAGTAAAAAATCCTAGATACATTTATGAGAAGACGTCTCAGTGCAGATGATCACTTGCGGTTTTGTTTCTTTTTCTACTTAGATTGATTAAAAAGATGAGTGAAGATTCTAATAGCAACCTGGATAAAAACCATGACAAGCTCAAAAAAAGAAAGCAGTATCTGCTCTCCTGAGTCAACAATATCTTCTCTTTTAACAAGCTATAGCATTGACAGCAATAATCCATACTCAGACAGTTTGATTCAGTACAAGGACAAGTTTTACAGCTCTGCATCTGAGGCTCTGGAGGCTTATATTGAAGATTTTGATCGAAGTGTCACATCTTCAGAAATAAGCACTGGAAAAATCTGCCTATGTCAAAGCACTCCTAAACAAGTTCAGTTTGTAAAGCATCATGCCAGAAAAAACCATGGTAAGTCTTCTGCAAATATGACTTTTAATAAGTTTTGGTGTGGTGGTGTTTTGTTTGGGGTTTTTTTTTTTATTCATTACCAATGGTATTGCAACTCTTTGTCTCACACTAGGTGTGTTTTGTTGAAGGAATATTCCATGCACAACTGCTTTCAAGTCTTTATGGTGTAGTAAATGATGCTTGGTCATGGCTGGCAATATTTGTCATTCTCTGTAATGCTTTTTCGCAAATGCTTGGTGGATTGGTGAGAATTCATGACCACGTTCATAGATACAACAATAAATTCCGGAGTATGGAATAGAAAGTGTATTTTCTATATGTGAATATATGCTAAAGACGGTGTAAATCATTGCTTAAACCGAGTCTTGAAAAAAATCTTAGTTTCTTTTCCAGAGTAAGTAACATCAGAGTCCAATTAATTGAAGGAGTTCCCTTAAACGCTGCTTTTTCTTAGAACAAAATTTTCCCTTTATCCATTGATACTTATAGAATGTACCTTTGGGTCTGAAGTCTAACCCAACAGGGTAATGTGTATAGGTTTGAACTGGCTTTTGTCATTATTAGCTAGCTTGAATAGATAAATACTTAATTGATTATATGAACTCTTACGAGAAGATCTAGAGTAGGTAACTGCTTGAGCTAACTTATACTGCAAATGCTTTGTCCATTACATCTAAAATAACAAAGTCCTAAGTACAGACAGACTTTGTACCTGAAAAAGGATGCTTGCCTGGGTTGCATTGGCACGGACAGTTATGGTAGCGTATTGTATTTTTCAGGGTGTTTTTTTTCTTCACTGTAGCCTATAACCTTCTGCTAGCTTCACACCTTTCCTTTCTTTCTCTTATAAAGACAGCTGGTTTTTATATGTGTTTAGCTTCTGGTTTATATTTTTCTAATACAAACCATCTTCTACTTAAGTTTAACTGACTTCTCAAACAAAAATAAGCATTCTGATTATCACTAAAAATGAGAAACTGTTCTCTGAAAGATGTCATCTGCTCATATTTTACCCTGAAATTTCTCTGTTGCTGTTCTTTGCAGAAGTCTCATTAGCTCCATTCACATAGTAGCTAGTCTGCATGTATGTTTTGTATAATAGTCTGTAATATACAGATTTCACTTACTGATATTACAGTGAAAGTGAGGAAAAAAATAACTTCCAGGTACTAGCTGAGGAAAACCTATTTTTGTGAATCAAAGTGCTTCATAGTTTCAGTGAAAAAAAAAAAAAAACCCAAACTATAATTCTTCCCTGGAAAACTGCCAAGTCAAATCTTATACAGCAAGTAAGTTTCTGTAGAATCACGAAATGGGTCTACAGGCCCATTATCTGACTACTTGCCTTGCAATCTATTGCTTTTAGCTATCTTTTTCTCTAGTAAATGTGCTCTAACTTCAATGTGGGGAAAGTCATCCTTAACACTACTGTGTGGGGGAAGCGTCGCTACTAGGACTGAAATACTAAGGACGTATCTGCAAAATACACAATTCTGAATGCGCAACTAAAAATGGACTGTAGAATGTTGAAATCTTGTTCCTCTTAAATAAAAAACTTACAGCTTTTGAGTATTTCCTTTAATGTTGTGTACTATGCAAGGAGGGGTAACTTTTGACTGGTAAGGTTTTTATCAAGATTCTGATTAGAAACGGAACCGTTCTTGCAAGAACTGTAATTCAGTATCCCCTGGTAAAGAATATAGTTCAGCTTTAAATTATTACTTCATGTTAGATCTTACAAATGTATCATTTTGGTATGCTTGAAGTTTAGCAATTCATGTAAAATATCTTTGTTTTTCAGCATTGGACGATTTTAATCAGCACATAGGACTGGGTTCTCTTGCTTCACCCTGTAGAAGGCAGACTGAGTGTGACCCAGACTTGATTAGTCTCGCGACAGATGACCTGTTAGCATTTCCAGCAGATGGATCACTGCCCTTTGTCCGGCATACTCCTTTTAAATCAAGGCATCAAAATAGTGAGTGGAACAGGCGGTCGCTTAAAACATCTTTCTGCCCTTACCAAACCTCATCACTCGATACTGAAAGCGGTTTCAGTAGTCTCCCGGAGAATGGCAAAGCTGTTCCTCACCAGAATCCACACAAAGACTTCAGCAAAAAGAAACGCAATGTGTATACACCTGATAGCTGTGATTCTGTCTCCTCTAAAGGAAGTTCGAGACCCTTGTCTTTTGAAGAGACCTCTAACACTTTTCCTTTTAAGAATTATCCGAGGTGGCTTACCAGTCAGAAGTCTGACTTAAGTGTATCAGGGATAAGTAGTATTCCCAATTTTCACTACCCAGTCTGGCTTAAGAGTTACAACCTTTTTTGTGATTCAACTAAAGAAAATGATGGTCAAAATTTTAATATACAAGGCAAAGCTTCCTCTTCACAAACTTTTGAGATCCTGACAAAAAGACACTCTGTCAATAAAGACAGTTCTAATTTTTTTGAACAAAGCAGTTGCCTGGAGCTGAGAGATGATAACAAAGTAGAAGAAAGTTACAACTATGACAATCCAGATGCATGCTCCCAATTTGATAACTCGTTTTCAAGATACACCAAAAAGCCATTCAGAGGTAACCATGTTTCATATAACTTGTTTTTTTTTTTTAATTTTGAGGGTATGTGTATAAAGACGTACTTTTTTAAACCAACGTTCTCTAGCCATGTTAGTCTGACTGCACTGTACAGTAGATCTATTCATGTCCATCTTTGACAAATGACTCAAAGCACTTACTAGTAGTTGACTAAGTTAAACAGCTTTTATACTGTAAGTTTTCATATATAAATCAATATTTAAGCATTACTTTTACAGCAAAGTATTTATAACAGTGGCATATTTAGTACCTTACTGCAATGACAGTAATTCCATGAATATTTTAATAGAATTTCAAGCATTAAGTTAAATTTCACGAAGTGTAATCTTGGAGGAGAGAGATTCTTAAACACAGTGTAAATGAACCCATCAAATTGGTAAGAAATACCATTTATTGTACAGTCTTTTTCTCTACTTTACACAGTCAGCAGGAGCTATTTGTAACCCATATGCTTAGGTTATCCAGTGCCTTCAGTTTATGTAGAGACTTTCCTTGGGAATCTCTCATGTAGCTACTCTTTGCAGCAGGCCATCGCTCTTCAGAAGCAGGGAGGTCCTCCCATGGCGAAGCACCATCTTTGTATTATGAAATATCAGCAAGATTTGCTTTGATATGAGATTAACATTTCGAAGTGTTGATTACCTTCACTTCCATCTAAGTTTATTCATCTAAAAAGAAAAATATTTTTTTGTTTTGCAAAGCATAAATATTGATCTCTCCCTTTTTCCAAGAGGTTATATATATAAACTGAGTTAAAATGTGGTTTATGTTGTGAATTCAAAGTGACAAAATGCCAGATACGCAAATGTCTGCAAGTACCTTTCTGATGTGTGTGCGTGATGAACTGTAAATATAGGGTTATATCTTTTTTTACACACCAAACTTTACCAATCATAAACAGGCTAGGTATAAAAAAAAAAGAGAACGTGTCTGTCATTTTGAGTGCTTATCTCAACCTATTTTTAAATGCGAGTCCTGTATGTGATTGTATATGTGACTTGCATGTATGTTTGCATGATTTGTCTCCCAGGTGTCTGTAAAAGCAGCTGTTAGAAAAACCTAACAAAATAATAAGAAAATTAACCTTAAAAACTTACAGTATTAATAAGTAATATTTAACATTGTATTGTGAATTAATATTAATTATATTTCTATAACATGAAAGCAGATTAAAAATACTAAATAATCTTGAATGCTGCATATGATACTTGTTTTACATAAGTTAAGAAAAGAAATGCTTGACTACTTCAAATACTCTCCTGGCTAGAACCTTGCAGATCCCACTTGGTACTGATGATTTACGTGCCATACTGCCATACCACGATAACCAAAGGAGTTGTATTGGGCCTGTATGCTCTGTAAAATATTTCCAGTGCTAATTTGTCTGTAGTAATTTTCTTTGAGTATTACATAAAATTAAAAGCAATGTGGAAATAATGCCCTTGAAGAGGGTTGGACACATTGTGTCCTTGTGTTTTAGAAGACCAGCCTGAGCTACTTACCTTGAAGGCTGACAAAGGTCTGGAGAGTTCAACTGAAGACTTGTCAAATACTCTGGAAAATGATGGCAGTCCTTCTACAACAGATATACTAGGAGCAGAAAGATCATGGGAAAATGCTCCAGGTGCTTTGTAAGTAAACATATATTTTTGGAGTAATTTGTTGATGAAAATGGATAATGTACTTAATTGCTTTTCTATATAGATTATAAGTAATGGTGAAGTGGCATGTACATAAAGAAAGGATTTACTGTTAGATTTCTTGCGTAGTGCTAAATGTTTGATAATTCGAGGTCAGGTTGTTGGTGCACTGCTTTCCCTTTTTCATCAAAGATAGCAAAGAGTGCTATCAATATTACTTATTGTTGCCTTTTAATATTTCTTATATATAATTGATATACAAAGATATGTATTTCAAGAGAAAAAATATTTAACGGAACTTAAATTGACAGATTTAATAGTTTATGAAAAACAGGTTACTAGTGGGAAGTCCATTTAAAAAAGAAAAAAAGCAGTGTGGCCTTGGGAATTCTTGGAGCAGTCTTGGAAGTGAAATTTCAGTTGTTCAGGAACTGAAAGGTTATTTCACAGGATCAAATAATAATAAAAATCAATACTAGAATTTCCTACAGTTTCTTGCAGTTTTTAAGAAGCAGCTAGGTGTAAATGGTTCTGGGCGTTGTCCATCAGTTTCCCTTTACCCTAGAAGATTTTGAACTTGGTTAGTTTTAGCAATATTTAACAGGTGAGTAAA